CTGCTTTACCTAACAGTTATGGGGAACAAGTGAGCGACGAAAGCAACGACTCAGACAGTCAAGAAAATTTTCTTACCAGTGTCGTGAGTGCTAATCCATTCATCGTCATTGCCTCGAGCCCAGTGCACCAGTTCGATCAAGAACATAGATACTGTGTGCATTTGCCGCAGGTCCTGAACCGAGAAACGACGGAGAAACTCTATTTGTTCTGTCCTCTTCTCGATCTGGAACTCCTCGTACTCTTCTCCTTCTTTCCCATTGAAAGCTTCCAACAGGTCAGGACCAGGGAAGGCTTTTGAATACAGTGCAAGCATATAGATTGCTCGCTGAAACCTTGAAGACTCATCGTACGTGAGCTGACTTTTCTTAAACTTCCGGTTCTTGTGCCTATTTTCGAGTCAATATCGATGTGATACAAAAACACAAGTTCACGGTGAGTAGAGATACGTACCTCAAACTGAAAACGTCCTCTAGTACTCGGAACTTTCTCGCGTTCTCCACAAGCTCGGGAATTTCTTTGTTCGTGATAAAACTCTCGTCGGCCTCACCTTCATGTTTGGGCTCTATGTCGTAGGGGCCGCGATCCCGAACGACGCGTAAGGCTTCAGGTAGGGCTCGTCCAACAACGTTTGCTGCTACAGCTCGTCGGATGGAATTGGGGTGCGCTTTGTAAACGTTGTAGAACAATCTCGTCGCGAGGATTGTCGCCTTCAGTGAGTCAAAATCAGGGAGAAATGTAAGCATATGGTTGATGGTGTCGTCGTCGAGCAAAAGACCATTAAATTTTTCCATGGGGATGATGGTTATGAGCTGGAGTTGGGTCCGCGTTATTCTGACTCCAGTCTGCGCGACTGCGTAGTAAAGACGATCATGTACGTATCTCGTTGAAGTGGGTTAAGACTCCAAGACACCAATTATATTAAAACTCCCACGCACCACGAACCTAAGTTCACCTCAACCACAATATTCAGAGATCGACACTCGCACCATCTACACGCCATTACTACTATTAAGTATCAAACGCGCCTGTTTGCCACATGGGGCAGTAATTGGACCTTGGTGCGGGGCTGAAATTTTACGGATCGAGGATCTGCGACGAATTTTTCTGGCCTCAAACATGCATTATAGTCTACAGTTTCAAGTAGATCCAGGTATCGAGTTACCGGAAACACTCCCGCGAAACGAACGTCCTTATTCACCCCTCGTCGGTTCACAAATGTGCTACAGGGCATCATATTCAGATATACTGGCGAGAAGAGAAGAGCGGGCAATTACATTCAGCTTTTTGGCGTGTGATGGACTGTATGTTTGGGTATGGCAGTTCCACCCGTACCAACAATTCTCTGGGATCTCGTTACCCTCTGTTCGGCACCATGTTAGGAAACGAGCGTCCAAAATTGCGAGAGGATTAGAGAGCTCACCTTCTATTTTCTTGTCGAGTAACCATAGATGTAGATGCTCCTTCAAGAGTTTAGTCATACATTCGGTGCAAAGCCAGCCGTTCGGTTTGCAACCTTTGTATTCCGGTGTCTTGTAGTCGCTATCGAGAATGTCTTGAACGATGTGCTCATAGGTATCCTCGTGGATCTCTCCAATGAATCGATTAAAGTAGGTTGTCTCGACAAGGTTCTTCGAAAGGTCTCCTTTCAGAAGTGTAACCACTGAGCCAGGCCTCAGAGACGGTACAGTCTGGTGCAGATATTTGTACGCTGCGTCGCAATCAGTACCGTACCACGATACAACTTTGGTAGAGTATGTGCCACTTACTTGACGGGCCCCATAGATTGAAACCTCCTTCTGTATTGCAGCGAGAGCCTGGCATCGAGTTCTTCAGGTAAAATCCCAAACCACGAGAACGCGTAGCGCGTACATGAGTCGTGAATTCCAACAACATCGTCCACTATGGACCGCCAGTGTGCGACATCCTCGAAAGCACCTTTAAAGTTGCGCTTCTTGAACAACTCGGATAACGGGTGGGTGAGGTAGCCGGCGAAAAAGAGGCCCGGATCGTCCACTTGGTCCCAGTGGACCTCATCCATCAGTTCTTCTACTGAACCCTCGTTGTAACACCGATATATGGTAGGAGGTCCGCTCGACAAAGCAAACCCTGCCCTACCTGATGGTCGTAGAAAACGAATGAGTGAGAAAACGATACTCCGAGCAGACAGACGCCTCTCTTACTGGCATCAGTACCGACTAGTTCATATTCGTCGCCTGCTTCAGCCCAGTGGAATAATTCAGTCAAGAACACGGATACAGAATAGATTTGTCGCAGTTCAGGAACGGAAAAAGGACGAAAAAACTCGATCTGCTCTTCCCTCTTGATCTGAAATATCTCACTGTCTTCGTCCGAATCGAAGAGCTCTCCCAACAAGCGGAGATCGAAGACTTTCGAGAACAGAGTAAATCGATAGATCGCTCGTTGGAACCTCAGGGATTCATCGTACGTGAGCTGACTCTTCTTGAACTCCCGGTTCTTGTGTCTGTTTCCGAGTATCATTATACAACCCCAGGTTGACACGAGTTCAAAAAGATGTGTACCTCAAGCTGAAAACATCCTCTAGCTCTCGGAACATTCTCGCATTCTCCACAAGCTCGGGAATTTCTTTGTTCGTGATAAAACTCTCGTCGGCCTCATCTTCATCTTCCGTCTCTATATCGCAGGGATCACGATGTCGAACGACGCGTAAGGCTTCGGGTAGGGCTGGTCCAACGACGTTTTCTGCTACAGCTCGCCGGATGGAATTGGGGTGTGCTTCGTAAACGTCGTAAAACGTCTTCGTGGAGAGAATCATCGATTTCAATGAATCAAAATCAGGTAGAGAGGTGAGTATATGGTTGAGAATGTCATCGTCGAGCAGAAGAATGCTGAAGTTTTTCATGTAGATGATGGTGGTTATGGACTGAAGCCGTGTCCGCGATAGAGAACCCAGATGCGAACTTCAAAGAGCCATGACAACCAAGAAACAATTGAACATATGTATAGGCCATTTCCCACCGTTTTGCCCAATCGCGAGTCTGGACCATGTCGTCTGTACTTTTCCCACCCAAGCTATGTCCCAGATATACATTGTAGTAGTCTACGAAGTACAAGTAGTAAGTATAGGTATAGAGATAACGAGAATAGCCTCACGCGGATTCTTAATATTCCTTCGTCGGTTCGCAAATGTGCTAGAGGGTGCCACATTCAGGTCCAAGTACCAGCGCCAATGCAAAGAGAGAGCTTACATTCAGCTTTCTGGCATGGTCTTTTTTGTGTACTTGCGTGCGGCAGTGCCACCCGTACCAACAATCCCCTGGGATCTTTTCGCCAGCTGTTCGGCCCCACGTTGTGGTCAGGAAGCAAGCGTCTGAGGCTGTGGGAGGTTTACCTTGTATCTTCTTGTCGAGCAACCAAAGATGTAGATGCTCCTCTAAGAATTTAGTTAAACATTCCGTACAGAGCCAGTCGTCCGGTGTCCAATCTTCGTATTTCGGTGTCTTGTAGTCGCTACCGAGAAGGTCTTGAATGACGTGCTCATAGATATTCTCGTCTTTTGGGATGTCTTTGATGAGTTTTCCAAAGTAGCGTTTCTCGACAGGATTCATCGGAAGGTTTCCTTTCATTAATGCAATCAAGCCAGTTTCAGGCCTCAGAGATGGCGTAGTTTGGTGAAGATATTCGTACGCTGGGGTACGTTCAATCAGCACCATGATACACGATGGTAGAGTATGCATCGCCTACTTGATGGGCCCCACAGGTTGAAACCTCCCTCCTGGCCGCACCGAGAACCTGACAGCAGGTTCTTTGAGTCAGATCCCAAGCAGCGAGAAAGTATGGCGCGTACATGGATCGTGTATTCCAACAGCATCGTCTACTATGGACTGCCAGTGTGTGACATCCTCAAAAGCACCTTTGAAGTCGCGCTCCTTGAAGAGCTTAGATAGTGGGTCGGTGATATAACCGCCGAAGAGCGCGGGTGGATTGACGTCATCGTACCAGTCGAGCTTAGCCATGAGAATCTCAATGGAGCCCTCGTTGTAGCAGCGGTATATGATCTCGGGTCCACAGGACAGAAACAACCCTGTTCTTCCTGACGCAAGGGGACGACGTATGAGCCCAAAAGCGAAGAACAGCCCGAACTTTTCCTTACCATTATTATGAGTATCGACCGATCCATCCGAAGAGTCGCCCGCCTCAGACCAGCGTACCAGGTCGATCAAGAACTCAGATACAGAATAGATTTGCCGTAGGTCAAGAACGGGGAAATGACGGAGGAACGCGATCTGTTCCTTCCTCTTCTTGGCTTGCGATTCCGGAAGCGCAGTATTCTCTTCATCTTCGTCGTCGTCGTCGTCGACTTGGAGCCATTCGTCAATCAAGGCGGTACCACGGAAGACTTTCGAATACAAGGCAAGCCTGTAGATCGCTCGCTGGAATCTTAGAGATTCATCGTATGTGAGCTGACTCTTCTTGAACTTCCTATTCTTGTGTCTATTTTCGAGTGTCATTATCTGAACAGATACACAAGGTTCACAAGTACGCACCTCAAGCTAAAAACGTCCTCCAGCGCCCTGAACATTTTTGCGTTCTCCGCAAGCTCAGAAATTTCTTCGTTTCTAATGGGAGCGTTCGCATCAGTCTCGCCTTCAGATGCATCTTCATCTTCCGTCTCTGATTCTTCGGGGTCATGATGCCGAACGACGCGTAAGGCTTCAGGTAGGGCTGGTCCAACGACATTCTCGGCCACAGCTCGTCGTATGGAATTGGGGTGCGCTTTGTAAACGTTGTAGAACGATTTCGTGGAGAGAATTGTCGCTTTCAGTGAGTCAAAATCAGGCAGGGATGTAAGCACATGGTTGATGATGTCGTCGTCGAGCGAAAAACCACTGAAGCTTTTCATGGAGATGATGGCTCGGAGTTGAAGTCACTATTGTGTCCGCGGTACGGGAACTCGAATTCTGATACCTAATCTGGGTGGGCGGGTGATTATATGCTGCCTCTTAAGTTAACTAAATAGGCATTAATGGGGTAGTGGTAACCTGGGTCGTTGCCATCCGGACGTTGAGCTTTGGCCTATGTCTCGACCCGCCGGGGGTTCGATTCCCTCTTAATGCAGTGTGGTTTTTCCGGAATCTTTTGGTTCATAAAGTGATGACCTCAACAAAGACCTTTCGCAACTGGTAGGCCGCGACTTCACGCAATGCTTTTGCTCAAGTTCGCCGTTATGTACAAGGCTATAAGTACAGAATCGACCGGACAGTGTTCACAATATGCGGAGGGTACCACGATATACACCACTGTTTTGCCCCTTAAAAATCCCCGACCTCAGGCCTCCTGTCCACCCCGATAGAGATTCCTTCATGCTCTGACGAGCTGGCTCTTTTCAGGTCGTTCAACCGATACGAGCCAGTCACGGTGGGAGTAATGGGGTATGCAAAGGAACACGACCAATGCTGCGATGGACTGATTGATTGACGATAGTCGAGACGTAGTTGAAGGGCTGGGAATTTTCTTGATGAGATGCTCTATCAGTTGACAATGTGTTTCGGAATTCGATAGGTATCAATCGGTACAAGGTTTGCAATAATACTTCCAGTAAGTCGAACAGCTTGAGCCAGATTTCAACTCCTAAACAATTCCATCATTCTCCCTAGTCCATGTGTCCCTCGATGAGTACGAGGCATCGGAAACTAGCTGAGGAAGAAGAATATCGCATTCTAGAACCTTTAGAGAGAGTGAATGACGACGATGCTGTTTCACCTACCAAGCTAGATGAAATGTATATGAGGCATCTGAACGATAATATTCATCTCCTTGAACTCCTCGCTGACATCCTCATCGTCCTCACTCAACTCCACCCCATCAGCGTTGGGAATAAAAACCCGCTCTGGAAGAGGTGACACCCTCCGAGCCCATTCAGGGGATTCCTCATAAACCTTTGGGCGCGCCTGAAGCTCGTCAAAATCCTCTATGATAGCAGGAGCATCCCTCGGTAACCCCATCTCGACACGACGATTGAAAGAGTCGCACATGAGCCGGGTGAGCACTGCTAATATTGCGTACTGCAAAGGATCTATAGTTCCGGCCCCGGGATCGGGAAGGGACGAGATAGACCACTCTGGATGAGAGCTGCAAAAGTATTCCAGCTCATTCCGAAATGCAGTGAGCCAACCGAGCACGAAGAATTCGTATATGCGGTAGAAGGAAGCCGTTGCGGTATCTGGGTATGTTGCCTGAAAGAGACGTGACAGTAAAGGAGGTTGGACGCGCGTGTGCCGCCATTTCCATGCGTACTGGATTGGATATTGTGCACGAATTTTGGAGGCGTTTGCTATGATTTCTGAGACGGAGGGCGGAAGTGGTTCATGGTGCAGGGTAGAAACCATGATTATGTAACCATAGCACTCGAAACTGGTCAACGCCTAAGTATTTCCATCGCGGTATCGTCAGGATGCGTGTCACTGGCGCGCAAGACTATTTCCTGTGTATATCCTCAGGATCTATCTTACGGAAACCTTCTTCGCATCTATCTATTCGCAGAACCGGATGGTTACAATGCCTTTCTCCTGCGTATCTCCTCAGGATCATTTGCGGAAACCTTAACGTTCGCATCTGGTATGATTCGCAGAACGGGAGGGCACGAGACGTTGCCACCCTCCAACTTGAAGATGCCATCAAGTCAAGAGGGTGACCTATAAGATAGGCTCCCTTTAAATACGATTCTACCGTAACTGTCCCGGGAAGCTGAGCACACCCAACCAGTCGATATCTCACCATGGGAAACTGTCTCTCTTCAAACGACGCCAGTGCTCTTCGTGATCTCGTCAACCGCCCTGGCGAAAGCACCGAGACAAAGCTGACTGCAGACTCGATCAAAAGTGGTCTTAAAGCGGTCGCCGACAGCATTCGTGCCAAAGGGAATAACATCTCCATTGTCGCCGTTGGTGGTGCCGTCAACACCGTTCTACTCCGTACACGCCAATCGACTAGCGATGTGGATTTCTTCTATCGGACAAAGACCAAGCACGAAGATGTGACACAAGTGATTCTGGCTGCCGATGCTGCGCGAAAAGCATTGAAGCTTGATGATCATTGGTTGAATAACCATACGGCACTCTTTGTTCAGGTTGGTGTGTTCTTGACCACATTTGCGTGGGAGAAGGGGTTTACTGATGAGATAATAAACACGCAGGAAGGCACAATCCAACGCCTCTATGATGAAGCAGTCCAACAGAAAGATATTGTATTCAGTGCTCCGGGTTTGACAGTGTACGCTGCACCGTGGCGCTATGCCTTGGCTGCGAAACTTGATCGTCTGTCCAAGCCCGGTGCCCGTCCGTATGATTTGAGCGACGCTGTCGACTACTTGGCGCGTCTGATTGAGAAGCAGGGCGGGAAAGCAGTGAAGAAGTCAGCGTTGAAGGCATGGGCCACGGAGTTCCAGTTCACGGTACCTACCGAAGATTTGATGAATAGGTTAGCGGCAGAGTACAAGAAGAAGTTCAAGAAAGATGGAGTTGTGGATGGGTAATGATTGTTTCATGTACTTCAAGTTCAAGAATTGTATATGTATATATATGTACTGAGGCAAGTCGAGTTTGCAATGAGGCTTCGAGAGAGTGGGACCGGAGCAGCCCGGACCGTTCTGGGCCGCACGGGGCCGCACGAACTGTGGGTAACGTGTACTGTCACTGTCACGCTCGTCATGGACGCCATCCTCGACCGGCGGCCTGAAGCTGATTGGGATCGTTTCAAGGCGTCTCCTCTTCTCTTTTTCACTCGTTTAGTCTACTCTCGCACTTACGACAAAATCGACGCTGGGTGCGTCCGCGTTGTCTGCATCTCAGACACCCACAACTCTCACCTCTCGCAGCCTCCTTTACCGAGCGGTGACATCCTCATCCACTCGGGTGACCTAACTCAATCTGGCTCCCGACAAGAACTCGAGGGCGCTCTCTCCTGGCTCAACTCTCAACCACATCCTCACAAATTCTTCATAGCTGGCAATCACGATTCCTGTCTCGCCTCTCGCGAGACACGCCTGCACATCGCTGCCTCTTACCCGGGACTTGTCTATCTCGAGAATACATCCACAGACGTGGCCGTACGTGGACACAAGTTGCATATCTACGGCAGCCCATACACGCCTAAACACGGCTCTTTCGTCTTTCAGTATCCCCGTGTTCACGATCCGTCACAAAATTTGTCAGAACAAGACCAATCGACCAAAATTTGGTCGTCGATTCCACCACTCGCAGACATCGTAGTAACCCACGGTCCTCCCTTTGCCCATCTCGACCTCGACAGAACTGGGTGTTATGCACTCTTGGCGGCTTTGTGGCGTGTTCGACCGCGGTTACATGTGTTTGGGCATATCCATGGTGGAAGAGGTGTGGAATATGTGAAATGGGATAAAGAGCAGAGGGCGTACGAGGATATCTGTGCTGGGAGGGCTGGATGGGGTGGTCTTGT